TGTGTTCATCCAGCTCTACACCTTGTTATCTCAGATTCTCCAGCATCTGCAGTTCCTACTATCAATGAATGGACATTGCCTTGATAGATATGACAGGAATGCAAGTTTTGGTTCTCCCATTTCATTTTAATACTGAGCATTTTGAGTCCCTCTCTCTGTAGGGAATCCAAAAAGTTCCACAGTGAGTAGCTAGCACTTCTAGATTTCATGCAAACTACAACAGAGCATCAGAATAGATTCCAGCATCTGGAGAGATTCCCTGGTGCTAGATTCTAAACTAGGCAGCAGAACAACCAGGATAGTAAGGTCTTGATTATGCCTGATGCCCCACACTACCTCCTGAGGATCAAACAATGCAAACTTCAGATTCCTGGGATTCAGCTCTCATCCAAGGAAGTACCCATTTTCTTGGGGATGGAGTGAAGTATAACAGGGCTGTAAAATTGAGACTGTCAATATTGAGTCACCCAGGAGAGCTCTGAACATATTATTACCTGTACTAGGTTAGCACAGCCTTCCTGCTAAATCCATGCTATAGTTCCTATTTCAGACCTGATACCAAGTTTGCTTCTACTTCCATGCCAAAGATTCCAGATTGCTTCATTCTTTCTTTTTTCCATGCCTGTTGAAGATCCAAACTAATTGCTGCCAAAACTCTGGTCTGACAGCATCTATGGCAAGTAAGTTGATGTTTTAAGTCTAAAAGCAACATAGAAAATAGGAGCAGGCCCAGGCTGTTTGGCCCTTTGAGCCTGCTCTGCCATTCAACATGAGCATGGCTGATTAAACTCCATCTGCTATTTGGATAATCCAGACAAATGTGAGGTGATGCATTTTGGAAGATCTAATCCTGGAGGGAAGTATAATAGATGACTGAGCCCTTTCAATTGAAGCTATTGAAGGATCCAGGCCTACAGGTCTATGCCGCTTTCAGGGATCAATGAGTGGATAAACTGGTCAAGAAGGCATATGGTATGCTTGCCTCCATTGGTCAGGGCACAGAATATAAAAATTGGCTTGTTGTTTCAACTGCACAGAATTCAATATTCCAAATGTGGTCTAACTAGTGTGCATTTCTAGTCACCATATAAATAGAAGGATGGGGAGAATTGAGGATGCAGAAATAGTTGGATGGTATTAGCAGAAGAGATTAAACAAACTTGTTTTGCTTTCACTTGAAAGGAGATTGCGGGGTGACTTCATGATAAGTTTACAAAATTTAAGGGGCATCAATAGAATGGGCAGTCATTTTTTCACCCCAGGATAGAAATGCCAATTACAAAGGGGACCGGCCTAAGGTAAAAGGGGGTAAATTTTTGAAGGAGGTGAGGCAAGTGTTTTTATCAGGATAAGTGCCTGGAATGTGCTGCCAGAGGGGAGTGGTGGGCTGGTATTAGAAGTAGACACAGCACTATTTAAGAAGCACGGTGACCTATATGAACAGGCAGGGAATAGAAGGACCACACAGGCAAAAGGTTTGTTTAGAAAGGTGTCAGGTCAGCACAGTCTTGGTGGGCTGATGGGCCAGTTCCCTTGCTGTACTGTTCTATGTCCTTTTGAATTCAGGAAGTGAGATTTTTGGCAGAACCAACATTGCATAGAACAAATAAGCAGAGTGATATTGTGAACAAAATCAAATGGGGAAGCAAATAACAAAAAAAAAACTCTTGTTATAGCCACTATGAAGCAAGTGTTTAGCATTTACAGGAATAAATATACCTGTAACTGGACAGACTGATACACCTTTTTTAAAAAAGGTGTCCCCTCTGGTTAAGATGCAGAATTGGTGATTTTTAAGGGAAAATATTTTTCACCTTTTTATAAATATGGAACTTAATGTTATTGTTTCCCACTTCTACCACTTATTTTAGATGAACTCTTGACTACATTGCAGACAAGGCTATGGAAGTCTTCCTGTGCACTAGGGTACAGTAGCCTCCAGACTGAGGTTCAAGAGTGGATAGGTGCTTGTGATCAGTATAGACATGGTGGACTGAAGGGTCCCTTTCCATGCTAAGACCTTGCATCTCCTCCTGGTTCACTTCACAGGAATTGCCCAAATTAAAAATGGGGCTGTGGGTGAACTGAATTTGGTGTTGTGCATCTGCTGGGCTTGTATGGCTCCTGGTTAATAACATGGATTTAACATGATATACCTCACCTCCATCAGCACTGCCTCCCTCCCCAGGTACAGATTCTAATGTCCCCACCATTAGTGACTCTGCCTTCAGCTGTTCAGCACCACCCTCCCAATCCTGCCTACATCTTGCTTGTGGTTTCAAATAAACCTATTGGATTATTACCTGGTGGTGTGATTTCTGACCTCTGTCTACCCCAGCCCAACACCACCTCTACATCATGTCTCAATACCTTGGGCATTAAGGTTTTGTGCCTCCGTACACATCCTAGTGAGTTTTATAATCTCTGAAAGTCTTAGAAGTTTTACGTTTACAACTTGGATCGAAGTGGTGATATGGCCTATGGGTTACATAAGGAACACTGCTGCTCAGGAGGCAGTGAAGTACTTGATTATTTGTAGTGTTGGATACAGTAATTTCCTGGATGAAAAGGGATTACCATTTATTTCCCCATCACTCCTACCTTCCTGGGAAGGGGGCCAAACCCCACAGCAGAGGGGCATCAGAAATGACCACCTTTGCACAACCCCTCCACTGAGGATTTCTTGGTACTAGTTGACAGGGCCACTAGATGTGTGTTACTCGCTTCCCTCCCATAACAATAGGGTTTCCCCTGTCACTTTTGACTCCTGTGGCCCCCCACATCCAAAGGATCATAGGCTGCTTGTATCTGCCACCACCAGATACATTCCCCTCATCAATCTTGTACAGGGATTGTTCCCTCTTGATCCACTCCTCCATTCCCAACACAGGCCCACAGCATCTTCCCATGTGACTGCAGAAGATGTAACACCTGCCTGTTTCCCTCTTCCCCCCACCTCCACTGCTCACTATCCCAGAGTCCAGACATCCCTTCAGGTGACTCAATAATTTACCTGTACCTGATAGAATCTAGTCTGCTGTATTTGCTGCCACACCACGTGGGCTCCTCACTACTCGGGGAGCAGAATGCAGAGCAGTTAATTGCTTTGATGAACATGTACATTCTGTAAAAGTGACTGCAGGTTTCCAGTCACTTACCACCTCCACCCCAACCTGTTCCCTGGCCAACATCTTTGTCTCAGGCTTGCTGCAGTGCTCCAGGAAGCTTTGTGCAGGCTGCAGCAACAGCACCTCATCTTTTGCAGCCTTCAGGACTTAACATTACAATAACTTTGAGCCTGAACACTTTCCTCTAGGTCTTCTAACCTACCCCACACCCTGGCAATGAGCTGGGCTGGCTTGTTTGCAATCAGCCCATTTGCACCTATTCATGACTCCCCACCCCACCATTATCAGTTTTTCTTTCTCCCTATCATCACTTATCCCTTTTGCCTAACTGTGTCCTCCACTCTGCTCACACCTTTCTCCTTCCCCCACCCAACCCCAGCACCATTGTCAGCAGATATACCACCTCTTCCTAGCTACTATCAATTTTGAAGAACAGTCACTGGACTCAACTCTGTTTCTCTCTCGACATTTTGCCGAGTTTCCCCAGCTGTGTGTGTTTTAGCCCAAAGCCTGCCCTTGTCGCTGTGCTATCGTGAGACTGAATGGTCTCTCCTGATCAGAAACAGGTCCTCTGGCTGGCCTGAGCTCACTTGCACATTGGCCTGGTGGCTGGCTGTATGAGTCTAGAGTGGAAGCAGCCCTCCATCGCCCCCATCACTTATTGAGTTGTATAGGTCCTGCCTCTACGCCTTTACTTCCCCACTCTGCCATTTCCCCCCAAGTTAGTTGATAACCCAGTGGCTGCAGCATGCCCTTACTAACAAGCCAGGTGAACGCAGTAACCAGAGTAGAGAGTAACATGGACTGGCCAACAGGCCTGAAGACAGTGCAGAGTCCATGCAGGTCCTTTATTATAGTGTTTCCAATATTCACATACATAGAACTTTTATAATACAGTCTTTTAAATAACTTTACACAATAAGGTTTTTGAATTATCTATCAAAATTTTGTATCCATGCTCTATAGCAAACTGACAATATATTCCATTGTACAAATTTACAGGTGAGAATTGAAGGTACTGGGGGAGGGAGCAGAATGCAATGACAGTACATTTAGTCTTTACACTGATCCAAGATGAAGCTGATTTTTTGACTGAGAGAAGCAATCCTTGCTCTAATCTTAGAACAGACATGAAAGCAGGACCTTGACCTATTTTTATTCCCCCTCTTTTAGGAGCCTGCCGCACCTTCAGAAGTGCCAGCGGTTGGGTATGGCACTGGAATCAGCTCCTTCTAAATTAAGTTTTTTTTTGGTAATTCTCTGAGATAGGAATTTTGTCAAAGGTCATGTGTAAAGGATCCAGTTGGCAAGGACTGTACCAAAGAAAAAGATTGCAGGGCTATGTAGGGGATAAGTGGCTAGCTCGTTGCAAAAGCTGGTAATGTATAAGTTGGGTCAGCTCCCTCTGCCCTCTGTACCTGTGCCCCTTCCTGGAGGGGAAGGAATAAGTTTAAAACGTACACTGCAAGAGTTTATTTTTGCCATTGCAATCCCTGGCTTCCATACTCCAACCCACAGCCGCTCATGCTGCGACTCCAGGTGTAGCCGCCTTATTTCAGGCAGACGTTCTTTCAAGCTCTCTCAGCTGTAGTCTCACCAATGGACTGGGCCACAGCAGCAGAAAGTGACACTCTGCCCTGTCCACGCCCCAGTAGTGGCAGCGATGTCTCCAAAAGCCAACTGATTCACATTTTGAGCGTTATTGCACAGGGATTACTTTAATCTTGTACATAAACATTTTTAAAAAGCAGTCATGAAGTTTAGCTTCTAATTGAATCATAGCAGCAAAACCCCAGAAGGTGCGCCTAACCCCAACTATCACTTTTTTTTGGGGGGGGGCGGGGTGTTACCTTAAACAGGGTCTGATGCAGAGATGGACTGACCAACGCTTAGTAGCTGTACTGCAGCATGGAGATACCAAGTGTGATGTTTGTGGCTACAGTTTGCTGGCAGTGCTAGCTGGAAGCTGCCTATGCAGCTGTGGACAGAACCCAGCCAACTACAGAGCTAAATGCTCATGACTGGTGCTTGTAACCTCTTGGCAATAACACTGCGCAATAGAACCCACTTCCTTTCAGTGTGAATGGCACTAGCACTTGCTGGCTCTGGTAAGATCTGTAACAAGGAAAAGCACAAGATGGTGATAACTAAAGCTGGGCTGTCTTTACATTGTACTGAGAGCCAATGCAGGGGTTGCTGTTTAAATGGTAAATTGAAGCATTAGATCCAACTTAGTGAAGACTGTTACTGAGGGACTAGATCCATCTAGAACTGGGCCCAACAAGGCTATGTCTAGTCTGAAGTGCCTGAGTATTATAAATTTATAAACAGAAGATTGATCCAACAGTCAATGGTAATTTTCAGGTTGGGTAATTAAATGACCAGTGGACTGCCATAGCATTCACTGACAGAGATTACTAGGGCCTCATTGAGTCTCTGTAAGTAATCTGTCCCTTAATTTGTGTTTGTAGCCAGAGTTGTTGCTGATACAAATATAGCCCTATCTTAACAGACTGACCTCCACAGTTAGCTATTTCTAGAAACAACCCATGTGATAGAACTGAAATGTACAAGTATCGGTTAGGCATGTAGTGGATTTCAACTAGAATTTTAATGTTCAATCTCCAAGCCCCTCATTGTCCCTTCCCCTGGATGAGGGTCTGGGGTGACTGGCAGGAAAATGGAGGGCACAGAGATCAGTCCTGATTTTACTGTAGCATGTTAGAATAACCTAATTGTGCTCCTGACTGGTATGAAATAGCAGCCAAAGACCCAGGCTGGTGATTAACATAGTTGTGCAGGAGTATTTTCCCTTGCAAAGCTTCTAACTTAGTGTGCTCCTTCGTTTCATTTCAATATCTGAATCTTTGTTGAAGAGCTATTGTTCAAGTCTGATGACCTCCTGTGACTGCAAGCTAGTCCACAACAGATGGCATCACAGTCAAGTCCAATACTCAATGTTCCGACAACTCCACGATGCCCTTCAGAATCCAACATCGGATTCCCTGAGCCCTTTATTTCTTCCTAGTGCGGGAGAGCCGCTTGGCCTGGAGCAGATGCACAGTCTTAGCTGGAGCAAGAAAGCAACGGCCGGCTCTATGGTCTGCATTTAAAAAGCCGTCTCACAGCAAGGGCCAAGGATCACACACTCGCCCCATAACCTGGTGGAGGACAAGGGCTAAAAATGCAACCTATTTTCACCCAGTGGGAACTGAGCAGCAGAGAAGGGAAGTAATGGTCATTTTGGGGGATCTTCTACAGGGGAACAGTGAGAACCCACTGTCTGCTCCCTCTTCCTGGACGCAGAAACCAATAGATTACCCGAGACAAAAAGCATCAGCTGGAGAATGGGAGCACCAGGAGTAGGGGGGGGGTGGGCTGTGTGGTGGCAGGAAGAGTGTGCTGACCTCTCACAGGAAAGAATGAATAAATTATAGAATATACATAAATAAAAGTGTCTCTGTGCCTCAGTGTAGGGGTGAGCAAGGGACAGCGGCCACTGCAGCCGTTTCACAACATTTCCTGCTCGATTGTAACAGGGCCTCTCCTGCTCTTCAATCACGGTTATTGCACAACCCAATCTGGGGCAGGGAGACAATCGCACAGTGCAGGTGATACAACATTGTTGCAGCCCAACCACCCCATGGTCCCTTGATTATCAAAGATTCCTCTTCACGCCTGGCCACTGTCCCTCTCCCCAGTAACTGCAAACAGTATCCAGAAAAGCTGTTTCCTCCTTCCTCTTCGTTCAGGGAGACAAACAGCTACAGCTGGCTCTGGGGCAACTCACATTTGCGCATCAGGCAGTTTCAGAGCTACAGCTTTGCAGAAATCAGTTGGCAGAGTCTGTCTTGAAAATGATACAAACGGCAGCTCAGTCAACAGCTGTAGTTTCTGTTTGCAGGTTTAAACCCCGGAACAACTGGGAGGACACGAGACGTGACAGCAAACACCTGCTCTGGTGGGTGGTAAGGTGTCCCCATCTATTTGAATGCAGTAAACTCACCGGCTGTAAGAGGAAACACAGTGTTTAATGATACGTGTTCCAGAGTAACAGTGGCAGTTCTCAACAAACACAATCCATATGGGCACCACAAGTAGTCACAATGTACTCTATCTAACCCTGTGCTGTCCCTGTCCTGGGAGTGTCAGATGGGACAGGGTACAGGGAGCTTTATTCTGTATCTAACCCTGTGCTGTCTCTAGCCTGGGAGTGTTTGATAGGGTCACTGTAGAAGAAGTTTCACTCCATATCTGACTGAGTGGGAAGGTTGTTTTCCAGCATAAATGCTCAGACAGATCCCATTTGGCTTTTTGCCTCTGGAAGCAAGAGCCTTGATTGAAGAGGTGACCATCGCTGCTGACCAGTGTTCTGGGGGTTGGTCAGTTCTCAGTGAGGATAGCTCAGCATTATTGGTCAGATCCACTGAGAGAAGCTTGTTATGGGAAATAGGACGGTGTAGGACAACATATACTCAGCTGAACGACACGGCCAGGGTTGAAGCGGAATAGAGGGCCTAGTGCTGGAAAGTGGGACTACTGTAAGTAGTAGTGTATATTTGGTAGTATACACTTGATGGCTGAAGGGCCCCTTCTGTACTGTACAGTTCTATGAGTCTATGCGTGGCTTTGGTTCGCCCTGTCTTTGTCCTCTCTTACAGCTCCATGGTCCCACGTGCTTTCAGTTTCTGTCCTTGAGCATCCCTCAGCTCTGGAATACCCTCTATCACACCTTTTGGTGCCTGTACCTCGCTTTCCCACCCAAAACCTGACCCAGCCCTTTCACCAAGCTGTTGGTCACCTGCCCTCACATCTCCTAAGTGGCTCAGTGTTACACTTTCTCTCATAATTAAACACACCCAGGTGCTTCACAGGAGCATTGTGTTAAAGGCAGTCTATAAATACAAGTTGTTATTGTCACTGTGCTTCATAAAAAAAATCTTGTGGTGGAGGAAGGGACATCAGGTGAACACAAGCTTGCGGTTCAGCTGTGATAAAGAGGATACTAATTCCTCCCCTCACCTAGCCACTGTGAGAAAACCGTGGAGACTGAGCCCCTGTGAGACATCAACAGCCAACAGAGTGACCGGGGAGGGGTGTTGTCAGTGCGTGTGTGTTGGGCCTCATCACCTCAGCAGCTATATGGGAATTAGGAACGGCTGATGTGGACAAGGCACCAAGACTGAGGAGTTCCCCCACTCACCGTATCCTCCAGCCTGAATGGGTGTCTTTGGGGAAGCACACGTATACAGACTGAAGTCCTCAGTTTGGAAACCGGCCCGATTGAGTGAGGGCTCCGACGCACTGCGATGAATCTTTGGCAAGGACCTGGCCAGCAGCTCAATCGAGGCAAGGATCTGCAACACAGAACCGCGTCATTATTGGGCAGACCCTGTTATTGCACACACCCTCCTTCACCAGGCCAGCTTTCATTCTCTGAAACTGCCTCTCCAATAGCAGAGGTTCTCAGAGAGCCTTGAATCAAAGGCTGAACGTGGGGCTCCAAATTCAGAACCACGGGCCCTGAAGTATACACTGGCAGTCAGTCAATGACAGCAATGTCCCAGACAGCTACCTGATTAAAGGGAGTGCAGACCAACCACACAACACAATTGTTGCCCCTTATCACTGCTTGACAATGCTGCACTCTGCTGTCATATAACCTGGGTAGGGCTAATCTTTTTCACAAACTGAGAGCGGCTAGCTTTTAAAGCCCTTCGGGCCAGATGATCTACATTCTAACCGTGGCCCCTCTAACTAGGAGCAGCATGAGAGAGTGGAGAGTTGAGTCATATCAAATCACATCTGCGTATAATTCTTCTCAAGTTACACAAGGTTTGTTTACACTGACACAGGCCTAGACCGTTGGAACCGATAGTGTCAGCGCCTACAACATGATTCAAGCAACATGGCAGTCATCTTGCCCCAAACTGTGTGCGTACAGATGCTTGTACACAGCTGTTAGGGGACACAGCTGGTCTCAGGTACTTATGGCCCAAGGAGAAGTCAGCACGTTGCAGTGAGGATGTGACGGTCCCCATCAGAAAAGGCCTTGTAGAGGATAAGCGCCTCAGATCATACTGAGCACCTGCAATTATTACGGGCTAACATCACCCCTTGAGCAAATAGACTGGATAGAAAGCTGGGACTATCTGATGGCTGGTGTTTACATTAAAGCAGCTTTGTGTCATGGCCAATCCACTCTTCAAAGCTGCCACACACGCCCCCCAAGGGTGTGCAGCCATGTTCCCAGGAGGATTGGAGAGAATCAAGGCACAAACAGAGCATGTGTTAATGGACAATCCAAGCCCATTCAAGTGAACCAAGATATTACTCCCATTACATGCCCAAGACAAGCCACTGCACTGGTGAATCAGTATGGCTGACTCCCTGGCATTAAAATATTCACTGCGCCGCTAACGAGGAACCGGAACCAGGCTTTCACTCCTTCTGTCGGATAGTGGGCTGCTCCCTCGCAGGCCTTTCACTGCAACCTCCGTACTTGAGCAGGACTGGGCAGTGAGGACAGTGCAAGGGACAGACAACCAGAGACAGCTGGAGTAGCACGGGCAGCATGGTGGCTCAGTGGTTAGCACTGCTGCCTCACAGCGCCAGGAACCCAGGTTCGATTCCACCCTCGGGCGACTGTCTGTGTGGAGTTTGCACATTCTCCCCGTGTCTGTGTGGGTTTCCTCTGGGTGCTCCGGTCTCCTCCCAGAGTCCAAAGATATGCAGGTTAGGTGGATTGGCCATGCTAAATTGCCCATAGTGTTGAGGGATGTGTAGATTATGTGGGTTACAGGGGGATGGTTCTGGGTGGGATGATCGGAGGGTCGGTGTGGGCTTGTTGGGCCGAAGGGCCTGTTTCCATGCTGTAGGGATTCTATTCTATTCTAGCAGGTAAAGAGGGAGCCTGTGGGATGGGATGGAACAAGCTGGGGTGGTTACAGTTATAGCATTCACGTCAATCTTGCATTCAGTGTGACTTTTTCACTCATGGGTTATGGGTGTCTCTGGCTGGGACAGCATTTATTGCCCATCCCTAATTGCCCAGAGGGCGGTTAAGAGTCAACCACATTGCTGTGGGCCTGGAGTCACATGTAGGCCAGACCAGGTAAGGATGGCAGTTTCCTTCCCTAAAGGACATTAGTGAACCAGGCTTTTCTGACAATGGATAATGGTTTCATGGTCATCATTAATTGCAGATTCTTTTTACAGATTTTTATTTAAATTCCACCATCTGCCATGTTGGGATTTGAACCCAGGTCCCAAGAACATTAGCTGAGTTTCTGAATTAATAGTTCGGTGATAATACCACCATTGTATCAGCAATTAGTACATCCCCATGCATTGCAAGCACAATTCTGTGCAGTCCTTTACTACCTCAATGTTTGGGAATTGACAAAATTCAAACTTCATGTGAAAAAGGAAAGTTTTGTTCAGTGTTGTTTTTGAGATTCAGCGAACTCGAACACAGAAAGACTAAGACAGGACTGACACCTCCCATTGGGTAGGGGAGGGCAAGTTGCGACAAGAGTGGAGAGACATCTCCTATTCCCAGTCTTCTACTAGTAGAGAAGTGACCAGCACCCCAGTCCAAATACACCACAACCACTTGTGTACACAAAAACTACTCACATAGAAAAAAGACCCAGGGCGCTCAGTCTGCTCCTGTTTAATTTCAGTTGCAAAAGCATACAATTTAAATGAATTAAATAACATAAGTCACATTGCAAGACAGAAACTTCAAGCTTAAAAAAAAATGTAATCAGATGCTTGCTTTCGGTGGCTTTGAATGAATGAGAGTGGGAAGGGATGAGAACAGCACAGAGTGTTTTCTCTCTTGATCTGTGCCACCTTTATTTAAGGTAAGTGCCTGGGACATTGCTGCCACTGACGGGCACTGTAGGCAGTGCACCCTCTGCGGTCGTGCTGTTTTGAACCCCTGCCCCCTTGTAACCACAACTTACTTGGAATTATCCACAACATCTCCTGTGCCATCATCCCCAACGCTGTGTACCAGGACAATTTGCACCTTCTTCCTTTGCAAGTATTGACCCAACGATGAGTCTCAGCCTCAATCCCAACTGGGGGAAAACAATCTACCTTGTGCATGGAAACATTCTTGCTAATTTTGTCTCTTCTTCGGGTGATGATTATCAGCCTGCTGCATCCCCTCCCCTCCCCCGACTTCAGATTGACTGATGAAAATGGTATATATCCCTTCAAATACCTTGATGAGTTTGGCATCCTCAGTAACAACCCATAACCTTTTCTGCAGCATCAGAAGACCCCAGCTCATCAAGTTCTTCTCCATTGTAATCAAGGCAAAAAGACATTATTGGGTCCTTTTCAAGACTTCATAGAGTAAGGTGCTGAAAACTACATGCAATACCCCAACCATGGACCTACTAACGGTGTATAAATTTATATAAATTTACTAACGATTTATAAATCAAACAGCACTTCCTATGTTGTTACAAGGCCAAAGAGGCCGTCCAGCTGTTCTGCAGCAGTTCCTGTCACACTCCAGCTGCTGATATAGGGAGTGAGGAGGTGGGTCCTCCACCTACCTGAGGGAACAGAGGGCGCTCATCACGTTTCTTCTTCAGACAATCTGCCATTAACCTCTTCATTGCCTTTGGACAGTTATTGCGCACCTTACTGAGGTCAGGGGTCAGATAACCTCGGCCAACCATGAAGATTATCTGAAAGCCAACCACAAGGTAAAACACATCAAGCCATTGACAAACTACCAAACCTGTGGGGTGCAGGACCAACAGTACTGTAGGGACATTTCAAAACTGTTTTCGGTGTCTATCTGATATTATACCTTAACTAGAAGGAAAGGAAGGGCGGGGTGGAACAGTCTGGGACACTGTCCTCACCATCATAGTTACAACAGGGTGTGAGAGAGTTGGAGGGGGAAAGCAGGAGAGGAAGGGAGGGAGAGACAGCATGCAAGTGGGCGGGAGAGAGACTGTGCAAGTGGGCAGGAGAGAGAATTTGCAAGTGGGACAGGGAGAGAGACTGTGCAAGTCGGCAGGAGAGAGAGTGTGCAAATGGGCAAGAGACAGAGAGAATGTGCAAGTAGGAGAGGGAGAGAGACAGCACACGAGTGTAAGAAGGAGAGAGTGCATGCAAGTGAGAGGGAGAGTATGCACGAGTGGGAGAGGAAGAGACAGCACGTGAATGTAAAAGGGAGAAAGCATGCACAAATGGGAGCTAGAGAGTAAGTGTGTGCAAGTGGGAGAGGGACAGCAAGTGTGAGAGTGGGAAAGGGGGAAGTGTGAGAGAGTAGGAGAGCGTGAGGGACAGACAGTGCAAGTAGGAGAATGCAAGGGAGAGTGTGAGGAGGAGAAAACGAGCAAGTGAGAGAGTGGGAAAAAGAAGAGAACGCGTATGAGTGGGAGAGGGAGTTTGACTGCATTGTGTGGGTAAGGGGAAGGATAGTAGAATGCTGGCACACTATTGGGAGAAGGATCTCACTCTAATTTCCCAACTCATGCACACAATCTTCCCTCCCCCTCTCCCTAATGTACCCTCCCACACATTCTGACTGAATCTCAAACTCTCTCCTCTCATGCACACTTTCATTCTGTCCCTATCACACTACCTCCATTGCACACACACACTTATTGCCTCCTTCACGCACTCTCTGTCTCCCCACACGCTCTCCGCCATGCACTCTCACACTCACTCCCTTGATGCCACAGGATGTGGATATCCACTCTGTCATCCTGGCCGGTGCCCATATGGGAAGGTGAGATTCTCCTTCGCCATCATGGCTTCGAACCTGTTTACTCAGAGCCCAATCTGCTGATATCCTGCCTCTTACAGCCACTGCGCCCCCTCCGCCATCAAACACTCCCAGGACAAGGACAGCACAGGGTTAGATACAGAGTAAAGCTCCCTCTACACTGTCCCCATTAAACACTCCCAGGACAGGGACAGCACATGTTAAATGTAATTGGATATTTTCAGTCTGTATATGCATACTCTCACTTGCTCTGACATTGTTTGATAAATGAGCATTTAATGAGAACCTTCCATTCTTAGAGACATAGCGATCACTAGCACAGAAAAAGATCCTTCAGCCCGTTATGTCTATGGCAGTCTAAAATCACCACCTAATTATTTTAATCTCATGTTCCAGCACTTGGCCCATAGCCTTGTATGTCTTGGCATCACAAGTGTACATCTAAATATTCCTTCAATGTGATGAGGGTTTCTGTCTCTACCACCCTTAGAGGCAGTAAGTTCCAGATTCCCACCACCCTCTGGGTGAAAAGGTTTTTCCTCACACTGAGTGCTAACATTCTCATCTCAATGAACATTAAATTTGTATGATTAAAAAATACGAAGAAATAAATTAAATGTGTAGTGCTAGTGGGTTTACTCACCTGATCTCGGTTATTGATATTGGAGTAGGGTAACTGTCCGCTCATCAACTCATAGAGAACCACCCCAAACGCGTAGACATCGGACTGAAAACTGTAGGGGTTCTTATCTTGCATTCGGATCACCTCAGGCGCCTGCAAAAACAGCAAAGCTTGGTTAGCGAGAGTGAAGATTAGATCTGCTGGAGGAAGTCAGACCCACTAGGGACACAGAGATCAGTGAAAGACTGGAGCTTCTGAACAGCACAGCTGTAAGGATGTTCAGCCGACAGTAATGAGCCTTCAAGTAAAATGGAAGGTAACAGGGTGACTGGTTTTAGTTTCCAATGGGGCAAAAGGTGGTCACAGGAAGGCGTGGGTGGGGCAGCACACTCCTTACACTGTTTTCTCCTGACTTCTGCTTTTTCGCCCGATGGCAAGTCTCAAGGTGCTCAACGCCTTCCCGGATACACCTCCTCCACTTTGGATGGTCTTGGTGATTCCCAGGTGTCTGTGGAAATGCCGCACTTTGCCAGTGAGGCTTTGAGGGTATCACAGAAGCATTTCCTCTGTCCACCTGGCACTAGCCTGCCGTTTTGGAGCTGGGAGTAGAGTGTCTGACTGGGGAGTCTTGTGTTGGTCATGCGGACAATGTGCCCAGCCCATCGTAGCTGATTAGGGTGCTCAGTGCCTCGGTGCTGGGGATGTTGGCTTGGTCGAGGATGTGGACGCTGGTGCGTCTGTGCTCCCAGTGGATTGGCTGGATCTTGCGCAGGCAGCATTGGTGGTACTGCTCCATTGCCTTGAGGCGTCTGTTGTAGACAGTCCACATCTCAGAGCCACATAGGAGAGAGGGAACCACCACAGCTCTGTAAACCACGAACTCAGTGTTGGATCTGATGTTGTTGTCCTTGAAGACCCTATTCCTCAAGCTGCTGACCCTTATCGGTGCTCCACCAGCCACTCATCTGACATCCTCTTGTTGATTCTGCTTCTACTCAACAAACATCACTGTACAAAGAGCTCAGACTTCAACGCAGTTGGAAATTCACCTCAAAGTGATAAAGCCAATGAGATTTAATGATTTCAGCATCTGTAATGGATTGAATTTTCCTAAACAGAATGTGCTGGGGTCAAATGGACTCTGGTCACTAGATGCGTGGCATCATAAACAAAGCAGCACAATTTCCTCTGTTTAATATTTCTGACAAAATGGCACTCAAAGACAGAGTTTTCTTTTTCTTTAACTAATGGCCAAAGATTCCCTCCCACTGCTGCACATGCAAAGCCTCTAAGCAGAATTATAAGCATTCAGTCTACTTAAGGAGGACAGTCAACCAGAGAAAGAGAGCCTTGGAGTGGGTGTGAGGGAGAAACACATTGTGTTTGTGACCTTGCAGGTTACCACATTTAGTGCGATAAGTAATAGATCTATAGGGAATGGGAGAAGTAGCTCATTCGGTCCATCAAGCCTGTTTCCCCATTCAGCTAAATCATGGCTGACCTTCTAATTCAAAATGCCATTTTTCCACATTATTCCTCATATCCCTCAATATCTTTTTTTAAAGAAACCTCTGTTTTGAACAGACTAAAAGACTGAGCCCCAGCTGCCTTATGGAGGACAGAATGACAGCGATTCCCCACTGAATGAGTGAAGAAATTCCTTATCTCAGTCCTAAATGGCCTACTCTTTATTCTGGGGCTGTGTTCCCTAGTTCTAGACTCACTACCGTCCCCCGTCAGTGGGAATATTGTTTCAGTATTTGCTCTGTCAGTCTCAGTGAAAATTTTGTAAGCTTCAGAAAAATCACTTCTGATTCTTCTGAACTCTAGAGAGAGTACAGGCTCAGATTCCTCAATATCTCCTCACAGGTTAGTTTCATCAGCTCAGGAATCAGTGATGAACCTCTGTGGCACTAATCCCTGGCAAGGATGGCAAAAAGCTCCAACGTTGGGACATGGTGCAGATTACTTGACACAATTTACTACCCAAACGTGCTGATTCAGCCGGCCTACAGTGTAGCTGTGGGGCATGAAAAGCCACTCACATTGAAGCATTTAACCTCAGGCTCACTTGCTCCATTCCTTAGCATCTCGATTCCCAACACACATTCAAACATTTCGATTTTGGATTGCAAAGAAGGGGCGGAAATTCCCAGCCCAGACACCCTTTGCCAAAGGTTCAGTAAAATTCACAGGTTGCATCTGTACAAATAACATTTCCCAACAGCCTCCATGATTCTTATGCACGAGGATTGGAGTGAATTACTTTACTTTGGTAACCTTGGTTGCATAGAGGAAAACTGAGACAATAATGGGCTTTGACCTGCATAACTGATCTTGTATGAATCAGATTGCTGTAACAAGTTTGGAATTAAATGATGTTAGAATGTATTTGATCCCTTGGTATGTAGGTCTAACCTTGATGTCAACCGAACTGATACAACTGTACAGCCATTGTGTACACACAACTCTCAGTGCACCAAATTCTAACATCCAGATTCACGGCCAACCTTTAGATACAGTTGCACACTCACCATCCACAGGATAGAACCAGACAACTGCTCAAACTGATGGGAGCCACTCCACCGTGACTTTACTGTTGCCAAGCCAAAGTCTCCAATCTTCACAGTCAGGTCTTCATGTAGAAAAATATCTTTGAATGGAGTCAAAGAACTCAGAGACGTAAAATTGCATAATGCAGCTCCCTAACTGCAAAGTCCATCTCAATTAACAAAAGGCTTAAATTTAAATATTGCATCCTGACTCTCTCAAATTTAAAGCAAGTATGTCCCAACTCATTTAAACAGTTTAAATGTTGATGTCTGAGGACATTCTCAACTCTAAAATAAAACAGAAGAACTGCGGATGCTGAACATCTGAAACAAAAATGGAAACTGCTGGAGAAACTCAGCAGATCTGGCAGCATCTGTGGAGAGTGGAACAAAGTTAACATTTCAGGTCCCGTGACCCTTCTTCAGAACCTGGACTTAAAACGTTAACTCTGCTTTCTCTTCACCGATGCTGCCAGACCTGCTGAGTTTCTCCAGCAATTTCTATTTTTGTTTCAGACATTCTCTACTCGTTTTGGGTAAAGGAACAGAAACATTAAAAAAAGCAAAAAACACGTTTCCAAACAGCTCACCTGCTAGTTAGGATGGTCTATCAGACAAACAATGAGCAAAGCCCAAAAGTCACCAATACAAAAGTGAATTACTGTGGACGAATTTCTGGTTATGTAGAAATCCATGGGTCAGTAGCAGCGGACAGCACAAAACTATTAATTCATTGAATGCTCAGAGAACAACACTGAGGGGAAAGAAATGGATGTTATAATCATAGAGTCATACAGCATGGAAACAGACCTTTCGGTCCAACCAGTCCACGTTGACCATGTTCCCAAATTAAACTAGCCCCACCTGCCTGTGCTTGGCCCATATCCCTCCAAACCCTATGCTCCCTAGTTCTGAACGCACCCCAACCCTAGGGAAAAGACCCTTGCTATTCACCTTATCCATGAGGTTGCAGACTTGCTCGCTGAGCTGGTATGTTTGATCGCATGCCCCTTATCTATGGCCCTCATGATTTATTAAGGTCACTAAGGTCACCCCTCAACCTCCAGCGAAAACAAGTTTCAGCCTTTCCACTCTATTTTTATATCTCAAACTCAAACCCTCCATTCCCTGGTAAATCTTTCCTGAATTCTCCCCAATTTAATAATATACTACTATAACAGGGCAACCAGAACTGCACACTCTCCAGAAGAGGCCTCACCAACGTCCTGTACAACCTCAACATGACATCCAAACTCCTATACTCGAAGGTCTGAGCAATGAAGGCAAGCTAAATGCCTCCTTAACCAACCGGTCTACCTGTGACACAAATTTCAAAAGAATTATGTGCCTGAACCCCTAGGTCTCTCTGTTCTACAACACGACCAAGGCCCTATCATCAACTATAAAAGTCCTGGCCTTGTTTGTATTACCAAAATGCAATACCTCACATTTTTCCAAATTAAAATCCACGTGCCACGCCTCAGCCCATTGACCCAATTGATCAAGGTCACTCTCCACTATAACCCCCAAATTTTGGTGTCATCCAGAAACTTATTAATCAGGCCTCCTATATTCTCATCAAAATCATTTATATAAATGACAAATTAAAGTGGACCCAGATGCTTCTGATGGTGCTAAGTGGTTAGCACTGCTGCCTCACAGCACCAGGGACCCAGGTTCAATTCCACCCTCAGGTGACTGTCTGTGTGGAGTTTGCACATTCTCCCTGTGTCTGTGTGGGTTTCCTCCGGGTGCTCCGGTTCCCTCCCACAGTCCGAATATGTGCAGGTTAAGTGGACTGGCCATGCTAACTTGCCCATAGTGTTCAGGGATGTGTAGGTGGGTTATAGAGTGATGGGTCTCGGTGGGATGTTCTGAGGGTCAGTGTGGACTTGTTGGGCCGAAGGGCCTGTTTCCACACTGCAGGGATTCTATGATTGATTCTCTCCACATACACTGCCAGACCTGCTGAGCTTCTGCAACAAGTTCTGTTTTTGGATGTTGTTTAAATGGATTTTCAGGTGGAATTTGATGAGCTCCCCAAACTGGCTACAGAAACAAAGAATGTCTGAAAAACCACTGCACTTGCAAGGAGAGATTGTGAGCGAGGAGAGAGGTGGTGGAGGGTTTCCAGCAGTGATGTACCATAGGGAGCTGTGCTTACACAAGGTAATTGATTTCTGAAGATACCAAATTAATCATAACTGACGAAGTTTGGAAGAAACAGGCAAACACAGGGGGTCAAGCACAGGGAGGCAAAGTGAGAAAAGCAAGGGGAACAGACATGGGGGAACAGTCGGTGGGATGGGGTGGGGTGTGGAGGAGGAGATATCAGCTTCCAGGAGGATGATGGTTGTGGAGAGACTGGCATAAGGCTGAGTCAGTTGCAACCACTGGGAGAGTGATGGGATTGGGACAGAACCACAGGTAGAGCAGGGGGCAGATACCTGATGACAGACAAAAAAAAGATCTCTTCAAGTAGAAAGAAAACAGAAAGGAAGTGCTTATTTTGTAGAAAATGGTTTGTCACAACTGGTGCACTGCACAAATGTGGAAAGCACAGAGACATAGAGAGGGAACAACGAAGATATTCAGGACAGCAGGAAAGGCTGGGCTGGTTTGTTCTAAAATATTTTTCAAATTGATTGCTTCTTCTGTTTGATAAAAAGTGGCCCCAGATTACACTGAAAAGTGAGGAATCTAGTTACAGAACTTACTTTCTCACAGTTATTAGAATCTGGAATGATGATCCACCAGAAATGCTAAGACACAGACTATGTTATTTAAAAAGAAGCAATACAAACAGATTCAGGTGATAGGAAGTGAGAAAGCAGGAAATGGCTCCAGTGGATAAACTGGTATTGTCTGGGAATATGGTCCGAATGGCCTCATCTTGTGTTACCATTTCAGAGAATCAATGAATCCGTACAGTGTGGAAGTAGGCCATTTGGCCCATCAAATCCGCATCGACCCTTCGAACAGCATCCCACCCAGACCCACACCCTTACCCTATTCCTGTAACCCTCCATTTCCATGGCTGACCCATCCAGCCTGTACATCCCTGAACACTATGGGCAATTTAGCATGGCCAATCCACCTAAGGTGCACTTCTTTGGACTGTGGGAGGAAACCAGAGCACCTGGAGGAAACCCATGCAGACACAGGGAGAATGTACAAACGTCACACAGACAGTTGCCCAAGGCTAGAATCTAAGGGTTTCCCTGGTACTTTGAAGGAGCAGTGCTAACCAGTGAGCCACTGTGCAACTTAATTTCTAATGACTCATGACATTAAGTGCTGCAACACTATTCCTCCATGAATGGGATCACAACTAAGCCATGCTGTGTCTTCACCTGACATCCAGGCACACACAATCTTTCCAATAGTCTACAGCGCACAATAATCGGAAACAGAAACCTGAACTAACTCACTCCTCCATGGGGTGTGGGGCATTGACGTTTATTCACCAATGCCCTTGCTGAACACAGCTCATAACCAGCACGACCAGCCAGGTGCTTCAGGCACTCACTCTCTTTGCCATCTGTGCCATCAGGGAAAGTTTACCCATTGGCAGCCAAACACCTACTGCCTCACTGCTCACACACCAAGTACAAAAGGATACTATTACTCTTCAGGTCTCTGTGGATAATGGACTTCGCATGTAGGTAGCTGTGAAAAAGAACAGTCCTTATTAATATCTAATTTAGTCGATGTGTGGCATGAGACTGGTCTAAAGGAGGAATGGAAATACATCTAACGCACATATTCGGTACATTTTACTGGGCGGCCCCGGGGACATAGAGCTCTGATATTTACTCAGTTTGCTACCTCCTCTCTTGGGGAATAGTGATGTATACCAACAGGGAGGGTGACCTAGCCCACAGGCATCATTGAATTTGTAAGGGTGCAACAGAAGTGTCTGTAGAAACTAAGCCTGGGCTATGTCAGAAGTGTGAACTTTACCCACAGGGCCAGTGGGGACAGGAATGGTTACCCACTCAGCTACAAAGATAACCATGCCTGTGGTTCACACACTCACACACAGGTTCCTCTGGTCAGCGGTAAAACCTCGGGACTTACTCCATGCCTTGGGCAGTCTGGCGGGCAATGTCGATGAGCTTGATCATCTCAAACTTGGTCTCGATGATGTGAAGGTGGTGATACAGACTGGAACCCTCACACCACTGCGTCACGATGGCAAGCTGAGGCTTTGTGGTGTAACCCATAAACAGGAGGATGTTCACATGCCGGGTTTTTCTAGACAGGGAAAGATAAAGTACAGTAATTCATCATCTAGCAAACAACACCAGTACAAAATTGGGAGACGAGATGGCCTCCTAGCATCTAAATGTCTAAGTATTGAGGACATGAGAGTTATAGGATGTGGACAACTGGCTATGACTGTCAAAATTTCACCCCAGCTGCCTTTAAATACTAAGCTGTTTAAACTTTGGCCACGGTTTTGATTTGCCCAATTTCCTCTCTCTCAAAATCACTTTATCCTTTCAGCCAAGCAGCCATTTATGCAAGACCCTCAACAGCAAATATTGACCAGGCTTGATAGTTAAAACCAAACATGTACCCACACACCCAATGGGACACCCAGCTTATGTGAAACAACCATAGGCGCTAGCCCTGGTAGCAAAAACTTGATGAAAATATGCTTTTGGAGATACCATGAAATTGTATTGCTTTGATAGGGGAACATGAACATGTCATTCTGCAGCCACATAGTACAATAAAGGAAGTGGCTGCCATTACTGGGCATAGCAAGCAGAAATGCCAACCCTCCAGGACTGCCCTGGGACTGAAGATTCATCTCCTGGATACGGCTGTGAGCAACCCAGAACAATTATATAGAGCTAGTTTAAACTTTCACTGTGAAAATGTAATCAGTCATGATGATACTGGAGATAGGAAGTAAGGCTGTTGGACTAGGTGGGGCAGCATGACATGATGGACCCCTAACGAATAAGGCCGACCAGAATTGGTAACTCCACTAGAAACACATTGGTAGAATCTACACTCTTGGAAAGTCAAGAAATACCATTAACAGTAGATTGAAGAGAGGGAAGCAACAAATCTCAATTTTAGAAGTCAGCTTTGAGAAAGGTACATTCCTTACATATAATCAAGAACTATTATACAGCATACATTGGAATTAGCAATATATCCAGTTAAAACAGCCCAGCGTCTTTTTGTTGCTTTAAAAGTACTGAGGGCAACACTAATGTTGGGTTGAGGAAGGGGCCTGATTGTATTAGAGACTCTAATGTCAATCCTTGTGTTCTGCTTTCCCCCCCCCTCTCCAAATCCCCAGCTCCAGTTCACATTGCCCATTCCCATGGGAAACCAGACAATGGATGCTGAACCATGGTCCACCTGCTGTTACACCTCTAACATCATACCTGCTCTGGATGGTGTCCAAAACCATCTGAAGTAATAATCAGAGAATCACAGAATCTCTAGTGTGGAAGCAGGCCATTCGGCCCATTGTGTCCACACTGACCATCCAAAGAGCACCCCACCCAGACCCACCCCCGACCCTATCCCTGGAACCCCGCACTTCCCATGACTAACCCACCTAGCCTGCACATCCCTGGACACTACGGGAAATTTAGCATGGCCATTTCCCCAACTTGCACATCTTTGGACTGTGGGAGAAAACCGGAGCACCCGGAGGAAACCCACGCAGACACGAGGAGAATGCGCAAAGTCCACACAGACAGTCACCCGAGGGTGGAATTGAACCTGAGTCCCTGGTGCTGAGAGTCAGCAGTTCTAACCACTGAAACACCATGCCTTTGTGGTACTTTTTGATTCCTAATTCGGATTAAATTGGTTTCATGTCTTTTAAAATATTCTGTACAGTTAGGTTGCATATGGGGGGGGGGAATTTTGATGTAAATTCCTTTGGCAGAAAAAAGGATTTGAAGCCTCCTAGAACCGTTCCTCGTTAATGTACATAAATACCCCTGGCCCACTGACTTTGTTTCATTTTTAGGACATGGTGCTTTGCTGATGGTGAAAGTTGAACAGTAATGCTTTGATTGTGCATATGTGTGTGCAGTGCTTCACCTGGAGCTGGTGTTGGCCACAGACCCAGCCTTAGTACTCGATGTACAACAGCAAGGACAGTATGGTGAACCTTCACAAAACAATAGGTCAGCCTCCAGTGAAGCGTCACACCCAGTTCCGGCTTGCACATTTCAGGGAAGATATGAAGGTTTCAAAAAGAGGGTATAGAAAAGATCTACCAGAATGGTTCCAGGCATGAGGGATTTCTGTGATGTGCAAAGTTAGAGATGCTGGGGCTGTTCTCCTTGGAGATGGTTGAGAGGAGAGTCGATAGAGGTGCATGGAATCATCAGAGCTTTCAAGAGAGTAGATAGGGAGGAACAATGCCCTCTTGTGGAAGGGACAAGAACCTGGGTACACTGATATAAGGGACCGAAGAAACAATGGCAACAAGAGAAAAATATCTTCCTTTAGCTAAAACTGGTTAAATCTGGATTGCACTACCGTGGATTATAGCATCCCAGAAGGGAACTGGGTAACCATTGGAAGGAAAACGTTTGGCGAAGATGTGGCTGGAGTGGGGCTAGGCAAGTTGTTCTTGCAAATAGAAACATGAAGAAGAGTCTATTTCTGTGCTGTAACCATTCTTTGATTGTAAGATGCTATTACCAAACAAAAATGTTTCACATCAGGTATCATGTTCCTCTCTTCACAGTGAAAGTAGCAGCATTTTTTATCTGTTTCTGCTGGCTGTTAAGTTGATGAAGCTGCGATTCCCAATGTGACTCGCCCCGTGTGTAGAGATTCAGGCACTTCAGATAGAAAGATGGGAGCTCTGGAGGGTGCAATGTCAACAGAAGGAGCAGGACCATATTTCACAACCTCCAAGTCATCAATCTGGATGACAAATGAGGATAGGTCAAGCATCCTTTCGCAAGGGATTCATGAACAGGTGTCGTGTTCAGACAATAAACATCCATCTCACGGAAAGGCAAGATGCTTTCTACCAACTCCCGTGATTTATGGTTGAAAATGCTTCAACAGTACCTCACATGGAGCTTGAGAAGATGAGCAGACTGGCTTCTTCTTTCGAAGTGATTATTCAAAATGCCTAAACACAACATGGCTTCAGGAGGTTGACTGAATGATCAGCACAGGAATGTGGGTTTGCCTGAAAATGGCTGACTAATTGCAGCCACTCTAAAAGGGATCCTGGCTAAGCCTCAGCTTTCCATGTCTGGAAACAGGGTTTAATAACGGTCTGTATTTCATCTGTGACCAGCACAGGCTCAGTCCTTTTACCTGGCAGGTGGACACCGAGTACTTTGCGCAGCATCCGTTACCCCATTATAGATGTCACTGCATTAGAGAGAGTACACAGAAGATTAATGGGGAAGCTGCCAGAATTGGAAAAATGAAGCAATGTGAAGGGATTGAATGAACTGCAATTGTTCTCCTTGGAATAGAGGAGGCTGAGGGAGGATTTGATATGTACAGGCATCTGGATAGACTGGATGGGAAGGGTTTATTTACCTGAGCAGCGAGGTCACTGACTAGAGGTCACAGATTTAAAGTGATTGGTTAAAAGATTAGGGAGGAGATGAGGAAAGATAGGAGAGAGGAGGCAAGTTTTTAAAGTTGGGGTCTGGAATTCCTGGCCTGAAAAGGGAGGACAGGCAGAAACCATGACTCATTCAAATGGTGTCTGTACATGCACCTCAAAGGCTTTAACCTGCAGGGCTATGGACCAAATGCTGCAAAGTGGAATCAGGCTGGAAAGTGGGATTAGACTGGGCCACAAATACAGTGGGCTATGGCCATAAACACTGTCCCCCAGCAAGTGGTACATTTATCACACAATGCTGCTTCAGGATCCATGGGAAATGGAGACACTACAAAGCTCGCTCATCAGGCTCTGCCATCCCAATTTCATCAGCACTCAAAGCTTCAACAAAAGTCAACCAAAACCAGTAGAAAACAATAAAAACAATTTATTTTGTTGTCAATATTAATTACCTGTTCCCCTCAAATGAAACCAAAAACCAGACACAACAGTATTTAGATGTGTATTTGGCCTCAATAGATCTGCACCTGATATTAGGCTAATGTGGAAAGAGAACCAGGTTTTCACTCCAACTACTTAGGGAGCTACATGAATGTACATGTATAGACACTGGATACGAACGTGACTGGACTTGGTTCTGGTGCCCTCCAGTCAAATAACCCTCTCATACTCCAGAGCCTAGGTCTGTTTACTATGATTACTACTTGCAGGATCATGAAGAGTAAATAGGTGGGACGATGAAACTTATTGGGCAGAGGACAGATCCTTTATAATTAACAACACTCACAGGACCGTTTCTACAGGCTGTGTTTGATGTCATGTATGGGAAGTTCAAATGATGTGCTCTTAAAAGACTGAATGATTATGTATCAAAGTAGACAGAGCATTCCAACCATATTGTTTGAATGACATCAGACCTCATATACCTCAAATGCCATTATCTCATCCATATTTTATGATTCACTCATGAAATGTGGGAATAGCTGGCAACATCTGCTTTGCCTGTCCATCCCTAATTTTCCATGAGAACGTGATAGTGAACCACTTCCTTGAACTGCTGCAGTCCATCTGGGTCAGCTACGCCCAGGTGATGTTAGGGAAGGAGATCCAGGTTAGTTAGACAGTAACTTTGTAGCAACAATGGAAGGTTTAGGACTTTGAGGGGAACTTGCAGATACTGGCCCTGGCATGCATCAATTGTCTTTATTTCTTCAGCGTGGCAGAGTTTGTGGGTTTGGAAGTCACGCGAGCTTTCAAAGGAATAATGATGAGTTGCTGTAGTGTACCTTATAGCCGGTGCACACTGCTGCCACACTGTGTCTATCGTGGAAACAGAGTGACCATTCACCATGGGGCATCGGGTGCCAATCAGGCAGGCTACTTTGGAACAGATGATGCCAAGCTTCATGCATTGTTGGGGCTGCACTCAATCTTTACCACTCCTGACCTTTGACTTGGAGGTGATAGATGGGATTTGGGGTGTTGGGACGCGAGTAACATACTGCAGAATTCCCAGCTTCTGACTGGCTAACAGCATTGATATGCCTGGTCTAGTTCAGTTTTTCATGATCATTCAAGGAATGTGGGCTTCACCGGCTGGACCAGCATAATTGCCTTCGAGAAAAGGCCTCCTCGAACTGTTGCAGTCCATTTGGTGTAGATAGACCCAGAGTGTTAACAGGGAGGGAATTCCAGGATTTTGACCCAGTGACAGTGAGGAACATTGGTATAGAATAAGTCACGATGAAGAGTGACTTGAAGGGGAACCTGTAGGTCAGTGTCTCTAACAACCGCAACCATCTACCTCTCTGCTAGGTATGATTCCAACTAGCAGACAGTTTTCCCAAGGTGACCTTAGTTTCGCCAAGGCTCCTTCATGCCAGTATTGGTTAAAGGCAGCCTTGATTTCAAGGACAGTCACTCCCGCATCGCCTCCGGGAGTCAGATCATTTGTCCATGTTTGGATCAAGGCTGTAATAAGTTCAGAAACTACATGTCCCTGCAGAATGAAGACACCACCCACCACTTTGCTATTGATGGAGACAAATAGGATGGGTTGGTAATTGTTCAAATTGTATTTGTTATTCTTATGTACAGGACATAGCTTGGCAATTTTCCAAGACACTCTTCAGGATTAAAGCTGAGGTGTTGCCCATTGCTATATTAAGTACGCTCATCTGTTTCCCAACATGATGTGGAGTGAACTAAATTGGTTTAAAGGCTGTGATGATGGGCACCTCTGGAGAAGGCTTCAATTACTCAGTAGCTCAGCCTGAAAATTAATGCACACATTTCAGCGTTGTTTTTTGCATTGATATTCTGGGCACCGGTACCGTGGACTGGGATGCGCGTGGAGCCAGGTCCTCCAATCAGTTGTTTGATGACCACCCCATGCTTGGCTAGATGTGGTTCAATTGTAGAGCTTGGATCTGAGCACTGGTTGCGGAGTCACCTAGCTCTGTCTTTAGCATGCTGTTTCTACAGTTTTGTACACATGTAATCCTGGACTGTTTTCTCCCTGGATTGTATCAACCTTTCTGCTGATTTTGTTCTTCAGGCCTCTTGGACAATAGGGGTGCTATTGAGCTGCTGTCAATGATGGACATTGGTGTCCCCTACCCAGAGTACATTTTCTGCCTTTGCTATCCTCAGCACTTCTTCCAAAGTGCTATTCAAGATGGACTCATCAGCTGAGGAAGGGGTAGGTAGGTGGGAATCAGCAGGTGGTTTCCATGCTCATGCTTGACCTGATACCACAAGATATCATGGGGTCAGCAGTTAATTTTGAGGACTCCCCAGGGCCATTCTCTCCCTCCTTGGCCACCATATCTTCAGGGTTCACCCTCCTATTTGTATAAGACATAGAGCCATCACGATCGGCTAAGGTTTGATTCTGTGATAATGACTGTCAACCAGTGTTGGTGACCAAGTCTATGGAACAGCTCCCCTAATTTTGGCACAGGTTGTCAGATAACAGCGATGGGGGTGCTGGGTGTCTCAATCATGATTATCAGATTGAAATTTAATCAGGCATGTTTAAATTCCCCAGATGTCTTGGTGGGATTTTAATATCTCCCTCTCGATTACAAGTCAGTGATATTACCACTATGCTACAATACCACCCTTGTAAGGGAATCAAACGATCTGTATACAATGTAATGGGATTGCACATCGCCTGTACAACTTTCATCAACAGTTTTCCAATATTTCACTCATGGTCTGCTGATTGATTGAAAGGCTGGCTTTCAGAATTTCGCCATGATCCTCTTACCTGAGGACTCCTACTTCATTCTTAAAGGCTTGTAGCTGTTGAGGCGTCGGAGCTGTAACATTCAGCATCTTCACTGCAACATCCCCTGTGGACAAATAGCATTTTATAGCATGTGGCAGCACAACAACAGAATTGGTTCATTCTACAAGATAGTTAGCCTAAACAGAATCATACTCCCCTAACGGTTGGCAGTTTTTCCCTTCAGTAATTCAGTAACCTAACAATGATGGAGGTCAAACTGTGCTTATCTCAGGGAGGTTGGAGGCTCCCTGGCAGAGGGGAAAAGGGATGGAGAGATGAAGAACTCTGTTCAGTTACATCCTTTTGTAAAGTGAGCTCGTACAGAACTTGTGCCAGTACAGGATCAGGCTCAGCCTTTGGTGACCTCTCTGCTGCCAATAAAGTGTGCTGGCATTAGCTGCCATGGTGAATTACCGACAATAAGGTACACCCAGCAGCCAAAGAGACATGCTCAGGCTGAAGCCAAGACCTTCAAAAGGAGGCCAAGGAGAAGGCTGGCGAGAAACACATGACCCCAAGGCTTTTCCAACTTCATGGATCTGGCAATGTTTCAAGAGGTGACCTTTGCAGATTGCCACCTAGCACCGACTCCTCATCAGCACCTTCATGATGATAGAGGATAAAGTTGTGTTTTGGAAATTTTTGCCAGTCGGGTCTTAGAACACAAGTAGACCTATCCAACAATTTTTTTCTCAAGCACCCTGCCATAAGAGTATGAGCCTATTCCACCTCTCAATTAGATCTATACTCAGCTCCTTTTTCCCCACATTTGATTGACATCACTTGATACCATTAGGAAACATCCATCCATCTCAGTCTGACCTGACCAAACATGCATTGTGGGCAGTCTACAAACACTCATGCACAATGCTGTTTTTGGGAACTATGGTGGTGTGCAAGGGGCACTAAGTATTCCTTACTGGTCTCAGATCAATGCACCTTGAAACATATCCAAGGTAGCTTGCATCTGGATTGGGAACAATGGAGCCAGAATGACCATGGGCTAAATGCTCTTTACTCAACAAACAATCTTCATTTTTGGTCATTGTACCACCCAGAGCTGGTCAAACAAGTCTCATCCACCTACAATGTTGGTGGCTGAACAAAATACGCTCTGCTTTTTTTTTTTAAAGACTGTTGGCTCTTAGGGTGCAGAGGCGATACTCATTTTCCACAATCCATCCCCTTTTTTTCTTGTGGGAAATAACATCTGTGGCTGTGACAATGATGATACCGAATGGTTGAAGCTGCAACACACTGCATGAACTCACCGTGGAGAGGGTCTGGAGTGTAACCAGCTTGACTGAACCTCAACTGCTGCTTCTTAGTGCTCTGGACCTTCAAAGGTGCTGTAACACTATCCATAGCATTCCAGTGGTCCAACACCAAATCCAATCAAATAGCTAAATACCATCCACCACATATGTACCCAAGAACAGTGAGAACCTTGCCACATTACATACCATGCCACTTTCCCTTGTACACTGTTCCAAACGAGCCTGATCCTATCCTTTGACCCAATGTGATCTGTCCTTCTGAAATTTCCCAGTCGTCACTGGAGTCCCTTCGACCCAGAGTTTTCTACAAAGCAGAAACCATCATAAATAGCAGGGAAAAAATACCCAGGTTAAAATTTGTACTGTGAACTCAGCACCATTCACACCGCAAGTTCTATTTTTTTTCTGACTCTCCTGTTGTAACATATCATTCTCACTAAGTCTTTCTAGTGGGCCCCATTCCAACCACTGTCAAAGTAAAACCATGTTGCAAAATGCAGCGAAACAAGGGTGTGCCTCTGTGATTTCTCAAGATCCAAGGTCAAAGCTCTGATCACTCTACTCTATACTTGATGTCTTGGGTATCCTTCAGGAAATCTGGCAACGAGATGTGCACCTTCCATCAATGGACGGAGACGGTCAAGAGAATGAACAAGTTACTGTGATGGTTGGACAGTTTTGCCCTGGATAATGGACTCACTAATGTCTAAACGGTAGTGTTGGTATTGTTCAGGGATGGAACCTAAAGGACATTCTGCATCCTCTGAACCTATCTTGTGATCTGTCACAATGTAAACCCCACAGTATCAATGGCAAAGGGATTGGGCAGAATCATAATTAACATCAGCAGAAGAGCTATCAGAAACATATCTCTTCCATCCAATGTCACCTTCCTACCATCCCCCTCATCCTTCCTGTCTTGATAGCTATCTTTCTCACCATAAGGCATCCCCAAACAAAAACATGCCTCTGATCCAACCAAACAATCCACACCCATGTCACCTGCTGGCCAGGAGGGCAGCCAGGACTAGGCATCCCTGAACAATCTCTCCCTTCCCAGCACAGGAAAGCTCAGAGCCATGATTGCTATCCTTCAAGTCTTTCTTCACACACCCCCCCCACTCCCCCTTATCTGTGTAAACACCCCAATTCGTTATCTCAACCCCTCATTGCACTTACTCAAGGGAGAGGGAGAAGGACCTCTTGCTTACCATCTTATTGCGGTCTTCGGATGATGAGGATGACGATTTCCTCTCTCGTGGCTGACTACCGGGTGATTTCTGCAACGTTTTGACACAACTCAGAGAACCAGGCAGCGAAGCAGGCGGGGTGGCGGACAGGCCCGATGTGGACCCTGTTTAAATTTTTGTTTAAACCAACGTTGTAACAGGAGGGGGTGTGGAGGAACCAAGAGGTAACAGAAAGCAGAATCGTTACTACAGCAAAGAGTCACCCAAAATAAGGCACGAGGCTAAACTATAATGTTGGACAGCCCATGCAGGGTACGACACTGGTGAATGATCTCACAGCCAAAGTGGCTCCCAAAATAAGGAGTGACCATGCACATAACCGATTTTTGATTAAGAGGTAGGGGCGGAAAAAGAAATAGAAAAGCGTGAAGTTATGGCCATCAACTTGAAATTTCTTGATAGGGTTGCAGCAAGTTAGCTACATGGCAACATTCAAAAGCACCTTGCTGTCTCTTGTAACTAGCCCTGTGCAGTGGGTAAGCTGTTATTGTGAGGTCAGGGTTGCTGTGTAGTTCAAACTCTTCAAGCTATTGTGCCTATCTTAGTTCGGGGAAATAACAACTTACTGCAGAGTGGCTAGAGATAAATATATTGAATACAGTGGAGCAGGTGGGAATCCAGTAGGGCAGAAACCATTGTGCTTAGGACTAGACAAGATGACTTTTAGGGAAATTTTACAGTCAACAACTACATTTGCTTAACCAAGGGTTCATGCTTGGACTGCTACTAAGGATGTTTCCATACTTCAAACAGACTCACTTTTAGGGCTGGATACAACAATAGTCAATGATAGGTGATCTCTAGTAATGAACTTACAGGCAATGCTGAAACTTGCCTTACACCTTCAATAAGCAATGCTCACCCACCCAGATCCAATGTCAACTGAGAAAAGCCAAACAGATCAGCAACTCCTCACTTCAATCTCAAATCTCCCCAGGATTTTCATTGAGAATAATCACTGGCTTTGACACCCTGAGGCTAAGAGCAAGAGGAAACGTGCTCCTGGAGATCTCTCCTTCCACCAGTCATTATCTACAAATTTGTTCGCTTGACTCCTGCTGAAAATAAGGTTGAGCTTTGGATTGGTCCAAAAGTTAATACTTGGAGAGGAGTAATACGCGAAGAAATGTTATTTTCAAAGAGTGCAAAGGAACCTTGAAACTGTAACCCCAGCAATGTCAGCAACCTGTCCCCCTCATACAGTACCCCAGCAATGGTCAGCACTACCCCACCCTCCTTCAGTACAGTACCCTGGCAACAATCAGCACCCCTCCCCCTTCAGTACAGTACCCCAGCAACGATCAGCATCCCTTGCCCTTCAGTATAGCACTCCAGCAAGAGTCCGTAGTGTCATGGCCTTCCACACAAACACAAGCAAATCATCATCAGTTATGGTGACTGAAGTAAGCACTTAGCTTAAAGATTTAAGTTTATCTCGAGCACAATCTCAACAATTTTTCGTTTTGCCTATCAATCTCAGAGAGACATAGAATCATACAGAACAGAAATAGACCCTTCAGTCCAACTCATCTGCACTGACCAGACATCCCAATCTGACCTACTCCCATTTGCCAGCATTTGGCCCATATACCTCTAAACCCTTCCTATTCATGTACCCACCCAGAAGTGATAACCTGCTCTAAAATGTGAAGACATTATTAGGGAAAAAATTTGAAGGTAAAGAAGAATATTTTGAAATAAAAAAAATTCTTCCCCCGACCTCAAAAAGCACAGGATATGAACGCCAGAAAAAATACATTATGGAAACTGTGTGCCTTTCAATCTGGTTTTGGCTGCATATTGAAACCATTTCAGCAAATGTCAGATCTAGATTTACTTTAAGAAAGATATTTGTCTTCAAAATGATTATTGAGCAATAAATGAAGAATATTTTTGCTAAAGTAATTGCTTTAAGGTTGATAATCAGTGTTAATGAGCAGGTTGATAACCCAGAGAAAAGGCACATTGTCTCTTGCACTAAAGAGGCACTCTAAATTATAAAACAGTGTGGGAATGTGTTCAACAAGGAAAACAGGCACTGATCAGAAGCAGTATTTTGTTTCTAGACATTGAGAAAGTTTGATATGATTTTTGTTTTGTCCAGAAGTCTGTTTGGAGTGAAATATTTACCTCTTCCAGCTCTCAATCCACCTCCTTTCCTGCAATCTTCCTGTGACAAATGATCACAGAAATAGTGCCCCTGTTTCTCTCTCTACAGATTCTGCCCCAGCCTGCTGAGTGTTTTCTGTTTTTAGTTCAGATATGCTTCATCTGCACTACATTCCTTTTGGAATGAATTCCTGTGTGCTTGTCTAATGTATTGGCCGATGTGTTCAATTCCTACTTGAATACATTAAGTAACCCGCTTCTTTGGAATAATAAGTGGTTAACGATGATTGGAATACAGCAGGTCAGAGAAAATGAGATAAGACTGGTAAAATTCAAATTCTTATAATTGGGTATAAATGAATGTAGAACACCCCTTTCCTTTTCTTACACAACCACCATACCACTCTCAATAATATATCTGCTCAGGGGACAGTTTAGTTCAGTTGAATAGACGGCTGGTTTGGGATGTAGAGTGACACCAACAGTGTGGGCTAAGTTCCTGTGCTGGCTGACGAAAGACTCTCCTTCTCCCTTGCCTGAGGTGTGGGGACCCTCAGGTTAAACCACCACCAGGTGTCTAACTACCTAACGAGAGAGCAGCCCTATGGTCTGGTAAGACTGTGGCAACTATTTCTTTTATTTAATGTATCCATTGCATCAATCATTTCAAATCTGTAATGTACATGCTTCACTATCACATAATGTTTCTAGGAATTCTGATGGTCAATGTTAGGTTATTAGTTGGGACTTTTACAGCAGCAGCAACAAATGGTGTCTAGTACCTAACACTGTGTCTCTACCTCAACGGTCAAGCTAAAGGAAGCAAGCTCATTTTTATCACAGCGAACCACGTGAATTAAAAATACATGTGTACGTGTTAATGGAATATTAATTACATTGAAATACAGAGGTGAAGAGTATTGTTTTATTAAGGAGCTACAAGACTTTTAAAGAGAGACTGTTGGGACTTGGAGCTATTAGATACAAAACAGATAAATGCAAGACTGCATTTTGTAAATAAATCTGTTACAAAAAAAAGTATTACTGTATTGTTTAATACTTCACTGACTGGCCTGAGATTGAGATAACAGCAATTGACCGAACAGACAAGATGCAATGACTGTCCTCCAGATCATACTTCGTCCACACCCTCTGCATCCTCCCTCCTCCTCAATACAATGTAAAATTATTGCAAACAGTGCACACCAGCAGATCCTAAATGATCTTAAAACCTTCTGACTTCCAGCAGGTTCAGAGATGAACGCAATTGAAATGTCGGAGATAGCAAGAACTGCAGGTGCTGGAGTCAGAGTCAATACAGTGTGGGGCTGGAGGAACACAGCAAGTCAGGCAGCATCATCACTCCTGAAGGGTGTAAACCCAAAACATCGACTTTCCTGTTCCTCTGATGCTGCCTGACCTGCAGCGTTCCTCCAGCTCCACACTGTATCGACAACTGAAATGTCCTTACTTCATTGGTCTTAGAACACGTATCTTTTTAAATTTTGTCCTGTATTCTACTGCCGTTGGCCAAATTCTATTTGCCCCCGCTTTGTGCGGCCTGATAGCTGACAATGCTCGGCTCGATTTCCTTGCTTGTTTACATTGATTGATTGATTGATTGGTAGCAAGGGAAGCACTCTAACATGCCAGAGATGGATGGAACTGGGTTTGCTCATGCACTTACTGGATCTGCCGAACCATGTTTACAACTGGATGAACCTTCTCTGACCCAAGCCTTGACTCAATACTGCTTCTGATTGAGCTACCTGCTCCACAGCTCCTGTACACGATGGGTCTATGGAGTGGGCATGGATCTCCGGTGGAGAAGCAGTGGTGAGAGAATCGGTGCGGTGCAATGTAAATGTTCGTGAGGGAGCGTGCACAAGTGGGTAAGCGAGGAGAGGTGCCCGAGTACCTCTGAATACAGGACCAGGCTCAAAATCAAAGACAAGGTCATTGGGGTAAGATTGCAACAAAGGGCTGGGAGTCCGGGAGCGGTACTTCCTTAGGCACCTGATCGGCTGCGTCAAGGGGGCTGCGGGAAGAGAAAAGAAAAGGAGTAAAGGAGCAGGATCTGAAACTCCCCGCCAGTGGGGTTCTTCGTTATTGGATAGAGAAAAAATATTCAAAAGGGCAAAAGAAACCTCACTTAGGATTTCTGGGGGATCTTCCCCTGTTTCGTACAGTGCATGTCCAACAATACTTCCCACTCACAGCAGAGACCAAAATTCTTACATCTACACACACTTTCCCATAGCACTCCTGACAGCCAGGATTCTCAATCATAAACTGCCTTGGAAACATATACGTGGGCAGATTCCACTTCCTCTTCAGAAACAGTGCTACAACTACCTGATGGGACGGAGCTGCATCAATTTGAGAAGATCACACATTATTTTAGTGGACTGCAATAAAGGATTCATGTACTTAAATGAGAATTAATTCACCGTTTTAAGTTCTTTCCTATATTTTGCTTTAAAGAATAAAAGAGGCGAGATTCTTGCTCTTTGAGATTCTGCTAACCCACAGGAGTTCAGCAAGAAATCAAAGCACGACAGATTTGACCATTGCTTTGAACCAACTCAGTGTCTCCCTTCGCCCCCACCCGGGACTGAAATAGCACAGGTCCCACGAGCATCACATATTGTTGTCATTACAAGTGCCAAAGCAATATTCTTTCAGCGTCTAAGCTAGTAAAGGCAACAAATACTGAACAAAGGAAGCCAGTCTATCGTCTGCCGGAGCTGAACCGACCAGGAAACCAACATGGGAAGAGGACAAATCACTGGCGTCCCACCTTCCCCAGATAACAAAGAAAACATTTGGTTTTAGTTCTGTGGGCAGAATCTAGTGAAAATGAGGAAGTAACCAGCTGTCCATCAAAGTTCATCTCTCAAATCCTTTCCTTCATCAGCAGATACTCAGGCTCTGAAAATAAGTTCCCAAAATTTCAGTGAAGTCACGGGCAAGGTTGAGACTCTCCTGCTGTACTCCTGTGACAACATTATAAATTGTTTCTTTCCAAACTGGTGCTGGGACAGAATTTGGATCTGAATAACTGTGGGGTGAAGGAGTAGCTGTGGCTGGAGGCAGGGGGGGACGGGGTGGGGGGTGTTGGGGCGGAATTCAAAGCATCCAGCCTTAAAAGAAATAAGGGTGGAAATCAGAGCACAGTCTATGTTCAAAATAAGTTAGCAGCAGCGTGGGCTCCTCACTTGTACACACTACACCACTAGCTGTAAGCTCACTTTTGCATTCCCCAAACTACTGGGACCTAGTGGGTGTCGCTTCAACCAGGAAAACGCTCAGGTTTGATGCCCATCTCCCTATCACAAAACACAGCACAACAGGCTTTTTCACAAAGGCAGCAATTCAAGCCAGAAGTCAAGGCTTGACATAATTCTAAGTGAACCCTGACAGTTTATCAGGAGAGTAGCTCTCGCATCCTTGCTGAGTAAGATCATTGCAACACAGCTGGGCATTGCAAATGGCCTTAGTCCCCCTGTGTTAGGGAAGGGTAATCCTCTTCTCTGCAAGATTCCCACTTCTCATCATAAGCTAAGCATTCCTGCTGAGATTCCTAAAAAAAAAACGAACAAGGCAAGTTTGGGTTCAGGCCTGATGGCCTCCGTGGTCAAATGGTCCACCAACCCAGAAGCAGACTCGTACAAAGTCATAATGAGACTCACATAAGAGCAACATTTGGGATGAAGGCTGAGGTCAAGTTGCTTTCTAGCAAGGAGTCAGTACCTTCTGCTGGTGGAAGGACAGAGGGAAGCACTGGGATAAAATCACTAACATTTGAAAAAAGATAAAAGACAGAAGGAAAGATGTTAATATGTTGAATTTTATTGTAGGGAGGTGAAAGGACACTATAACGAGTTAGGCAATGGCTTATTGAAGGCCTTGCTGCTTTGTATCTACATTAGTACCGCCTCTTCCATTAAATTATAGACTGAAAGGGTTTTCATTGCCTGACCAATTTCAATTCTGGCACTTGAACAACGTGTTACACACTGTTAATAAGGAACCACAGTAATCAGCATTCAATGGGACAACCAAATAAAACTGTCAGAGTCTCCACTGCCAAATGGTTGCGAAACATTTGAGTAGGTCCCACTGGCGTTCTCTGGCAGGCATTAACCACACACAACATGCCATCATGAGGCCCCAGTGCCAAATTAGCCACGCCACTCTGGAGCACACAGAAGGCCTGGTACAGGACGGAAAAGAAGTCATACTGACACAGTAGAGAAGTCCCCTGACAAACATTATTAGGAAAAAGCCCTTATTCTACATTTAATTTCTGCAGCCTGGACAGTACTGCATTATCACTTTACCTCAGGGAGTACAATTGATGCAAAAATGTATACACACTTCTAATTGCAAAAGGAATGCAACTGAGCAACATCCTATCATGCTTCCTTAAAATCTCCACCCAAGAAACCCACAAACTCTAAGGGAACCAAGATGTCACATTCTTACCTCCATCACTGCGTGGTAGACCTTGATCACGGATCAGACCCTAGGGGACGAGAAAAGGGGAGATGTCTCAGTCCACGCACTAACATTTTTGAGGATTCATGGATTATGTTGGGTTACTGAGGGTTACAAGAGTAAGGTTTACCCAAAGCCTCAAGATAAAAGGCCTTGGAGAAGACTTCCAGTATGTATTCATAACACATTTCAGAAGGAGTCCACGCTGTGTGGGGACTACAAGTGAAAGAGCTCCACAAGCGACCACTGTGCCTACTCAACTATAATTTCCTCACCTGTTTAGCACTCACCTGTTGAGAAGAGTGAGCTTTCATTTATACAATGCCTTTCCAAAGTGTTTAACAGGTAAGGAAAGTTAATTTTGAAAAGCAGTCCCGGTTATAGGGAAAGATTATAGTCAACTTGCACATTGATAGGACTCATTAAAAGCGGTGAGATAAACTACCACGTCATCCGTTCAAATCGTAGCCGTGGGATCTTCCTCTGCCTGAGAGGGCAGACAGAACCTCAGCTTAGTGTCTCAGCTGAAAAGCAGAACCATCTACAGTGCACTGCCCTGGAGTGTGAGCTTAGATTATAGGGGTTAAGGATCTCGAGTTCAGAACCTTAGACTCAGAGTTGTTACTGCTGCATCTGAGCCACAGTTATAGCATGTCACCTGAACACCATAAAGTGATTGGCCTGAGATTACTACCCCTCTCTCTATCTTTAAAGAGCCATATTTGGTGTTGGACCACCGTTCATGGGCTGTGGACATCTCTGGCAAAACCAGCAATTTGTCGTCCATCCCTAATACCCTTGAATGGACTGGTTTTCACAGCCATTTCAGAGGGTGATTACGACCCTTGTCTGGGTCTGGAGTCACTTTAGACCGGACCAAGTGAAGGATGGCAGTTTTCTGTCCCTAAAGGACATTAGTGAATCAGATGGTATTAATGACAATTGTTTCTGGTTTCTTGCCATTGCTGAGACTAGCTTTCAACTACATTTAAATTCCTCTAGCTGCCGTGGTGTGATGTGGAGTCGGGAACCTCAATGTGGTAACCTGGATCCAGAGACATTACCGCAACACCACCATCTCCTCTGAAGGGTAAGTAAGGATACTTACATCAATATTGACCTGCTCAATGGTGTTGAGGTGTACGTTTGGTGCAGAGGATGAACGGTCACGTTGCCCAAACTGATTGCGTTGCTCTTCCTCACTGGGTCTGAAAGGCTGTGGGATTGGAATCGATTTTGTTGGAGAGGCAGTGGAGTGAGTTAGGGACCTGCAAATACAAACACCGGTCAGCAGATGTGAGAATTCTCATTTTTCTCCACGCCTTCTGCCTTACAATTCCGGTTCAGGCTCCTGGGGAATCTGATATCTTACTGAGCTGTCATTGTGAACAGTGAGTACTACCAGGTCATTTGACTGAAAGAAAGTGGTCAGGACTGAGCTCTGACTGAGTTTTCCTTCATAAAGCTGGGGCTGAGGAGACAAGTTTCAGCTTCGAGACCAGAAAATAATCCTCAGCCCATGCAGTACAGCAACGCTGTGACTGATTTCATGATCATCCTGACATTTCCTTCAACCCTGAGAAAGCGCTTGGCCAGGAAATCATACTCTCGGTTCCAAGTGTAGGTCATTCTGTGTGTGAGTGTGTGTGTGTGAGTGTGTGTGTGAGAGAGAGAGAGAGAGAGAGAGAGAGAGAGAGAGAG